TTTAATGGGTTAAAAGGCTTAAGGCCACGGTCTCGTGGGACAACTTAGTCAACTGGCGTAATATAGTTGATACTCCATAGTAAGTGACCCAACAATGTTAATTTCCTTCTGGAAGACAGCATAAGGAGCTCTGGTGGTTCAGTGGTTAAAGCATTTGGCTGCTAAGAAAAAGTTTGGTAGTTCAAACCTACCAGCTACTCTGTGGAAGAAAGATGAGGCATTGGGCTCCTGTAAAGATTTATAGCCTTGGAAACCTAGTGGGGGTCACTATGAGTTGGAATCAACTCAATGACAGTTTGTTTTTTGATTTGAGCTTCCCGAAGATGATGTTTTATATCCTAGTTCTATGAGTAGCATCTAGGGTCTTAAAAGCTTGCTTCTGGCCATCTAAGATTCAACCACTGGTCTTTATTCATCTGGAACAAAAGAGAATTCAGGAAACCAAAGACTCAAAGAAAAACTAGTCCGCAGGACTAATAGCGCATTTGACCATGGCCTCTTTCAGCCTGAGAGCAGAAGAACTAGATGGTGTTTGGCTACCACAGCCGACCTTTCTGACCAGGGACCGATAGAAGGACATGGATAGAATAGGAGAAAAATGTAAAAGACAACTCACATTACTAAAAAGGTCGGGCTTACTGCACTAATTAGACACTGAAGGAGCCTCTGAGACTACTGCCCTAAGATACTCTTTGAACTTGGAAGGGAAATTCCTCCTAGAGGTCACCTTTCATCCAAATTACTTATTGCCTTATCAAATAAAGTTTCACCTGTGAATACTCACCAGCCACTCCTCGGAAGGAAGGTTGGGCAGTCTACTTCCGTAGTGATACCTCCTTGGAAACCCAAGGAGGGGCCTGCTATGCTTCCTAAAATAATCAACTATATGAGACAGTTTACTTCCATAAAGATTTACCTCCTTGGAAACCCAAAGGGGGTCACTATGAGTTGGAAGCGACTCAATGGCAGTGAGTTTAGATGAGACCAAATAGTCAACAATTACCCTAAAACAAAAATGAGAAGGTAAGGAGGGGTAGGGAGGCTAGATTAATGGGAAAAAAACAAACAGGGAAATAATGAGAATGCTGACATATTATGAAAAATGTAACCAATGTCATGGAACAATTTGTATAAAAATAGCTAAATGGGAACATAATTTGTTGTATAAACTCAACTAAAACACAGTTCACAGTATTTTTTAAGAGACTACAATGTTAGTTGATTTAACAATCTCTGATTGTGTATAAACTTGGAGTGACCTCAACCTTGCTACTAAAATAGGTACACTAATCTTAGGCTTAAGATTATAAAAGATCAAATGAGATCACCCACAAGACACTCTCAGCTTCTCCTGTACTGCTGTGTTTACTGCAGCATTATTCACCAAAGGTGGAAACAACCTGTATCCATCAACAGATGAATAAACAAGTGTGGTTTACACCCAATAGAATATTACTCAACCATAAAGAGAAATGAAGTCCTGAGATCTGCTTCAACATGGATGAATCTTGAAAACATTATGCTGAGTGAAATAAGTCAGACACAAAAGGACAGATACTATTTGAGTCAACTTACATGAAGTATGTAGATTAAGCAAATGAATAGAGACAAAAATAGATTTGTGATTACCAAGGCCTAAGGGGAAGGGGAATGTAGAGGTATTACTGAAAGAGCCCTGAGTTTCCATGTGGGTTGATGAAATAGTTTTGGAAGTTGATATTGGTGATGGTTGTTCAACATTTTGTTGTTGTTTGTGCTGTCAAATTGTCTCTGACTCATAGCAACCTTATGTTCAACATGGTGAACCTAATTAATTTTACTGACTTGTACACTTAGAAATGGTTAAAGTGACACTTTTTAAAAATGAGTTTTACTACAATTAAAAAGAAGCAGTAGCCCTCAGCTTCTACCGTTCTCCATCACAGTAGCTGCTATCATCTGGGTATCTTAGAGTCCAGTTGGGGTCCTGTCTTAAGCCCTGACTCCTTTGTCTCTGTGGGTCTCTTTCCTTGCTGTAGCCACTGCAGCCCACAGAAGCCACAGGCTGGCCTCACTGAGCTCAGGCTTGCTCTGAGCTCCCAATCTGGTCACATTGTCCCCACCTGTGCTCTGTAGTTCTCTTGTTCCTCTGTTCCCGTCCATTTGCATTTACTTTCTGATGTCTTTATCCTCCATTCTTCTTTTTCCTTACCTCCTCCCAACTTATCACTCCCTTCAGCCCCTCCCTTCCTCTCTGCCCATCCACCCTGTCCCCTCTCCAACCCCTTTCTGGGCTGCTTAGTGATGCTGAGGAAAACTACATTATTGTCTGGGACTTGGAAATCCTGCATATATTTCTGGCCAGCCCTCCCTCCTCCCATTTGTTCCACTCTTCTGGACTCATACAGGTCCCTTTAAATCCCCATCTTACCTGCTCATCTGCTGTCAGAGAAAATGCTCTTTGATTCTACCTTAGAAAGGAAGCTTCCTTAACTCCTTATCCTACTGTCATACAAGCTCCTTCAAATACCCACTCTCCTGTTTTCAACTCCCTCGATTTCTAATTTATGTCAGATGGAATTAAGAATGGTTGCATGAAATTGAGGAACCTAAAGTACCAGTAACTTTCTAAACAGTCTTTTTCCCTCTTGTTTAAAAGAAGGTTGGAATTCAGCATCCAGGGTGTAATGGATTAAATTGCATCCCCAAAAATTAGTGTGGTAAATTCTAACCTCTATGCCTGTGGTAATAATCTCATTTGGGAATGAGTTGTCTTTGTTATATTAATGAGAGTGGATTAGTGTAGGGTGTGTTTTAAACTAATCTCTTTTGAGGTATGTTGTTGTTGTTGTTGTTGTTATGTGCTGTCGAGTCAGCCCTGACTCATAGCGACCCCTCCTTGGGTTTCCAAGGCAGTATCACTACGGAAGTAGGATTGCCCAACCTTCCTTCCGAGGAGTGGCTGGTGGGTTTGAACCGCCAGCCATCTGGTTAGCAGGCAAGTGTCTTAGCCAAGAGAGATTAAACAAGCAAGTGGGAAAAAACAAAAGATGCTGGGGAAGAGAAGTGCCAAGCCATGTGAAGATCTCCTCGCAGGAAAAGCTCAGAGACAAGGACCTCCTCCAGAGCCAACAGAGAGAGGAAGCCTTCCCCTAGAGCTGACACCATGAATTTGGACTTCTAACCTTTTAAACTATGAGAAAATAAATTTGTTAAAGCCACCTATTTATGGTATTTCTGTTACAGCAGCACTAGATAACTGAAACACAGGGCATCTGTGGCAGCAGCACGAGTTGATCTGGGACCCCAGCTCTGCCATCTTCAGAATTTGGTGTCTATCTTCATGGTTACCTTGTGGTCCAAGAGGACATACAACCACTATCTGTATGCCAGGTGGAAAAAGGAAGGAGGAACGGGTTCATCCCTCTTTAAATGACCCTTCATGAAGGTCCCAGTGACCTTTCTACCTACAAACATTGATCAAAACTTAATCGTGTAGCTTCTCCTGGCTTCCAAGGAATGTTATCTTTTTTCCAGGTGGCAATTCTTATTGTAAACCTGGATCCTCCTATGGGAGAAAAGAATGGATATTGGCTGAGCAGCTAGCAGTGTCCATCCTGACCTCCTTCCACACACACATTTCCTGAATTTTTCACCCTCACTCTTCAAACTTCCATGGCCTCCACCTCACTTACCATATCTACTACTCAATGTGCCATCTGTGCTGCAGAGGGGAGAGGCATCACACTTCTTGGTGACTCCCCTCTTTTCCCTGGCTAGGATAGCATGGACAACTCTGCATCCTTGAACCTTTTTATTTATAGTTATATCTGTTTTTCTTCTCTTCCCATCTCTCCTCAAGCCTGGGTGGGCTCTTTGAGAACAGAGACAACCACATATTTATTTTTGTAGATGCTAATACAGTGCCTAGTACAATGTGCTTTCTCTGTGAAGTCCAATAGAGTAAAGACCGAAGGAGTGTCCAGGGTCTTCATTATAGATTTCAAGAGGATGAGATCATTAACCAGTGAGCTGATGTCCTTTTCCATTCTTGCTTTTACCAGGTTTATGGCATTTTCTATGCCACGTCCTTTCTTGACCTCTATCGCAATCCAAAGAGCTTGACAACTTCACTCCACAACAAAACAGTCATCGTCAGTAGGGATGAGCAGTACTTGTTTCTGGTAAGCTTCCTATCCATGCAGTTGCATTTTCTAAGGGGTGGGTGCCTTAATTCCTGCCCTCCTGAGCTCTGACCCAGAACCTGGGGACTTGAAAGCCTGGCTCTTGGTGTGTGACCAGAGGGAAGTTCCTTCGTTTCACAAGCACCTGTTTGAAACAGAATGATCACTTGACCAATTGCAGCTCTCATGTGAAATATTAATAATTTGTTGAATAAGTCACAAGAATCCAAAATTTTTGTAGGATTCCATCTCTAGGAATTTAACCTAAGTACTTGTGCAGGTGTACAAAGACATGTGAGAAGATGTTTGGTGCACTAGTACTTGTATAGCAGGAGATTGGAATCACATGTTAAGAGAGGACTGGTTAAAGATATAATGGCTTATCCATGCGATGGAATATTGGGCAACCATCCAAAAGAAATTCAACTCTAAATGTACTGATACGGAAAAATCTCTTAAACTGTTTTGTTAAGTGGAAGAAGCAAAGAATGTAATAGTATGTGTGATGTTTTTCTTTTGTGTAAAGAAGAAATAAATAGACTACACACACACACATCCATATATGTATTTATATACATATGCATATATGTACATGTATCCATTTATACGCGCATGTATCCATTTACACATGCACATGCATGTACATATTTATACATGCAGGTATCTGTTTATACACACATGCATATACATACATGATCTAAACATACGTATTCATTTATGCACACATGCATATATATGTATGCATGTATACATGCACATGCACTTATGTACATATACATTTACACACATGCAGTATATGAGTATGTATACACACACACACACTTATGGCTGTGCTTATATACGCGTAGGACATTTCTGGAAGGGAGAGCAAGAAACTGTTACCAGTGGTAACTTTAAGAAAATGAATTAGAGACCTGGGGTAGGTAGGGAATTATTTTACATTTTGTACTGATATTTTTCATTGTGTGGATGTGTCACTATTTTGGAAGAAGAAACAAACAGTACAGTAGAAATTGTCTACAGCCCATGCAGTATTTATTTCCTGTGCATATGCTTGGCCCTAGGTCCGAGTGGTGGTGCCCTACGAAGGTCCATCCTCTGACTATGTTGTAGTGAAGATGATCCCGGACAGCAGGCTCCCACCTCGTCACCTGCATGCAGTACGCACAGGCAAAACCTCAGCTGTCATCAAATGGGAGTCACCATACGACTCTCCTGACCAGGACCTGGTGAGTGGCCAGGCATCCATTAACCTTGCTTATTCTTGGGATGGGTGGAGGAATCTGATAAGGGGGCAAGAAATGTAGGCCTAGTGTTTGGACCACCCACCCAGTTTTGTCTGACCATATACGGAGTCCTTGTAACTGATCACTTGCTATGAAGCCAACCCTGACTCATGGCAATCCTGTATGTGTCAGAGTAGAGTTCTCCTGCATAGAGTTTTCAGTAGCTGGTGTTTCAGAAGTAGATCACCAGATCTTTCTTCTGAGATGCCTCTGGGTGGACTCAATAGGGGCTTCTTTTTAGTTGGCCCTTCTCCATTACACCCAGCTATCATATTGGTTTGTCCCTCCTTCCTCTTTACCCTCTCAAAGTCCCTCCCTGGTCCTTTAAAACAGGGGTCAGCAAATTATTGCCTGTGGGCCAAATGTAGCCCATCACCTGTTTTTGTAAATAAAGACCATCTGGTAAGCAGAGCCTAAAATGCAGATACCGGTCCCTTATAGAAAATGTCTGCTTAAAAGGAAGGGACAGTGATTCTAGAAAATGGCTCCCATTTCCCATTGCTCTGCTTTTACTTCATCCTCACTGAGGTGATTGATTTTAAATCCATGATTATACTGGTCAGTGTTAAAACTCCTCTTGACTCTCAGCTTCTGCCTGATGATTGAGTTTTTGGTGCCTATTGTATGTCTTTTTATTTTCCCTTGCCCATATACAGAAGAATCAAAGTATATAGTTTTCTGTGTTTTAAAACTAGGGCTAAATACTTTCATTCATTAATTCTCTACTGACAATATTTCCAAACACTGGCAGTGAAAGAGATATTAAAGCTGGACTCTGAATTTGGATTTTTCTTGCTTGTTCCAACCTACCTGCTGATGCCACAATTAATGTGTCTTTTCACTGGTTTTTTTTTTTTTTTTTTCATTTATTTAAATGATAATTCTATGTACAGTTCTGTGAATGAATACTTGCTATAAGGTTTGACCTGGCCAGTACAAAGACTTTCCAAAAGATGGAGTTAGACTTTGGAGCTCAGGATAGTGTTGCTATAGGTCACAGCCACTGATATGCTTAGACGACATTGTCCACCATTGAACTGCAAAGAGTAAAAAATACAGTGTTCCTGATTACCATTAATAGAGCTTTTTGTTTGTTTGTTTAGTTATATGCAATTGCAGTTAAAGATCTAATAAGAAAGACCGACAGGAGCTATAAAGTCAAGTCATGCAACAGTACCATGGAATATACAATTAACAAGTTGGAACCTGGAGGGAAATACCATGTCATTGTCCAACTGGGGAACATGAGCAAAGATTCCAGTATAAAAATTACCACAGGTAAGTAGCACAGAGATTAGAGGCCTTCTCGCACAGCGAGGCTCCCAGGGTGTTACTAGGATGGCTCTCTTCAGAATTGCACGGAAGGGCACATACTACCTTCTGCTTCCTAACGGGGGCAGGGCAGTAAGGGGGACTGCAGTTTGGTGGCCAGGACGCATGGGTTGGGAATGGCTGGTGCTTCTAAGATTCTCTAGCTCCCTTCTAGTCTGCTCTCCTCTAGCTATTTTTGATATTGCTATAGGAGAAAAGGAGGAAAGCCTAAGAGAGTTAGGGAATAAAATGGAAGACTTGCCAGTTAGCCCAAGCATTGCATGTGGGGATCTGGTCTGAAGTTGCAATGATTTCTTGCAGCAGTATGACATGGATAAATGAAGAGGGACAAATAACTGGACAGTAGATAGAAGTCTAGCTCAACAGCCACACTCAAGTTCAGAGTGTACATAGTTCTGGAGTTTCAGTAATGGAGGCTCTGTCCCATATAGCTGGCAGTGTGAGCAGTGTTCCTGGGCTATCCTTGGCTATCATTCCAGTGCTCCATCTTCAGGCAGAGCTCTTTAGCTTTGAGACAGCTAGGGACAGGAGTAAGGGTAATAGGAAAGTGGTTGGGAACTGGCACGGACAACTAGGCTGATGCAGAGCATGCCGTAACAACAAGGCTTTGGAACTGTGGTTCCAATACCATTAAGCCTCCCTCTCCCATTGCTTTTGGCCATCCTTGGGTTCATAGGCTAACAAACTGAGCACTTTGAAGTTTCTTGACCAAAGGTGTTATGACAAGAACAAAACAGGTGCCAGTTAAAGAGTATCGACCATGTGCTAGATTTAGTACTAACCAGTATATATGTAACACAGTCCTTCAAGGTTAATATTACTGCTATCCCATTTACAGCCAAGAAAATGGAGGCCTGAATGTGTATCCTGCTAACTACATCCTATTTCATCTTTAACTTTCAGTTTCGTTATCAGCACCTGATGCCTTAAAAATCATAACAGAAAATGACCACATTCTTCTATTTTGGAAAAGTCTAGCTTTAAAGGAAAAGCATTTCAATGAAAGCAGGGTAAGTCCTTCCCTCATCCTCTATAACTTTGGAAATCTAAATTGAAATGTGATTTTAGAGATGAGCTTGTTAACAGCATGCTGGCATAGATAGAATTTGGAAAAAATAGGGCAAGGAAGTAAACTTGAGAATTAAAGGACCATTTTCTGTAGGATTGCTAATTAGTGAAATGTTTATACTACCCATTAAAGATGAGACTCTCTACACAAAGTACTGTTTAATCCCAAAAGGGAAATGGCAGGGGAGCCCTCCTCACTGCATTTTCTGAAGCTGGGCTGGGGCTCAGCATTGGAACCAAGAATCCACTGCTCCCAAACCCTCTCAAGGCCAGGCTATGGTTTCAGGATCAGGGAGCTGACCTGTCATTTCAGAGGAATTAGAGGGAGCAACAAGAACTTGAAGATAGCTTTGACACAAGGCAACTATCTTGTTTGTTGTTTTGTTTGTTATGTGCAAGTCACAGCCAATTCTTGTGTCCACAACAGGAGATGGGGGAAGAGGAGTAGACTGGGGAGTACATTTGTTCCCCAGTGGTGGACAGATTCTTGAGTGGAATTGGGTTGGCTTGATTAGCATCAAAGCATTAGCTACATGGAAACCAACAAATGAACTATGGCTCCCATAACCAATTGTCACTGAGTCAACTCCAACTCATGGCAACTCTGTGTATGTCAGAGTAGAACTGTGCTCCATAGGGTTTTCAGTGGCTGATTATTTGGGAAGATCACCAGGCCTTTCTTCCAAGGCACCTCTGGTTGGACTTGACCCTGGTTAGCAGCCGAGTGCCTTAAAGTTTTGCACCACCCAGGGACTCTCCTTAAAAGTGTGGTAGGTAAACTGCCCTAGGGTTCTAAATAGTCACAGGTTAATGCCAGATACAAAGCTAAATTATAATTTGAAAATTCTCATAACTCTCACAACTATGACATAAATAATTAACAGCCTTAAATTTAAAGAGAGCTTTCAAATCAATTCAAAACACTAATACTCTTAATTTTGAAAAAGCTACAGGTAGCAGAGTAAAGAATTTCAGCAGCAGTAAGTAAAAGAAAATGTTCAACCTCATTAGTAATTTTAACAACAAAGAGATAGCGCTTTCACATTAAATTGGCAAAGATTTGGGGTGGAAGACTGTTACCAGTATTAGTGGTAGGTGACAAAATAAGCAATCTGGGAATATAAATTGATTCAAACTTCTGAAAGGCTCTTTGGTAATATGTATCAAAAACATTCAATGTGTTCAACATCTTTTACTCTGCAATTCTTCTAGGAATTTACTCTGAGGAAAGAAAGTGGTTAAAAAATTTATGTACAAAGCTGTTCAGCGCAGCATTATTTATGAAAACAAGAAATAGGACACAACCTAAATGCCCAACAGAGGGGGACCAGTTAAATAAATTATGAGTGGTTGTTGGTGTAGTTTAAATTGTTTTCTTTATTCCTTTATGTATTTTATATATATTCTACACTGAAAATGTATTTGTTGTTATTGTTGTTGTTTGGTGCTGTCAACTCAGCTCCAGCTCATAGCGACCATGTGTACAATGGAGCAAAACATTGTGTGGTCCTGCCCAGCCTCACAATCCTTGCTGTACTTGAGCCCATCATTGCAGCCACTATGTCAATCCATCTCAGTTTCACTGCTATTCCTAAGGTTTTCAATGGCCAGTTCTTTGAGAAGTGGATGGTTCCTTCCTTCTTCCAAGTCTGTCTTAGTCTGGAAGCTCCGCTGAAACCTGTTCACCATGGGTGACCCTGCTAGTATCTGAAATGCTGGTGGCATAGCCTCCAGCCTTACAGCAACACACAAGCCACCACAGTACAACAAACTGACAGACGAGTGGTGTCTATCTGTATATCAGATGGACAGTAATAAATGCTAGTTTATTAAAAAGCACAGACGGATGGGATTCCAGGCACGTGGAATTGAGAGACCCATTTTGGCAGCCATTTGCCATAAGGGGATCTGTCTGAGTGGCAGAAGCCCAGCTTTTAGGTTGAGGTTGCAGGTCAGTATTCCATTCCTAGTGGAGAGTCCTGGCTTAAGCATAGCATACCCTTCTTCCCTCCATCTGATATATTGTTAAGTTCAGAGAATAGAGCAGGTCAGTACAATGAGGATGAAGAGACCAAGGCTATGAACTGAGGTCCAGTGTGACTGGGAGATAAAGCATGAAGTCTTTTTTGGGGGATAGGGTGAGGTAAAGGGGGATTGGGGCCCTTGTCACTGAAATACTTGGAGATTAGCAGACAACTCCAGTCAACCTGGATCCCAGCCAGCATCCTTGGTCAGGGCTGTAACAGAGCAATTTATCTCAAACTAGAAGCCCAGGACTCTTCCTGAGACAATCTAAATAGCAAGAGACTAAGTACTCTTCTCTTGTGAATAGGGGCCTGAGCCTGCTCAAGTACTTCTTATTTCAAGGCCTTATTGGCCTATGACTGCTATGCTTTGAAGAGAAAACTGGAAGTGAGCTGCGCACTGACAGTGGCGCCCTTGCACATAGTTTCATAAAGAAATGCCCTGTCTTTTCTGATTGTGAGTTCCCTTTCCCTATTTTAATGCTTGAGACCATTGTGACCTGGATTTCTTATTAGTTAAATCCCTGCACAGCAAATTGTTGCTGAATTGTCCAGATTCTGTTTTGGGATTTAATACTGCTTGAGGGGGCATTGGTGGTTCAGCGGTAGAACTTACAACTTTCACGTGAGATGCCCAGGTTTGATTCCCGGCCAGTGCACCTCACGCACAGCCACCGTCCATCTGTCAGTGGAGGCTGGCCTTTTGCTGTGATGCTCACCAGGTTTCAACGGAGCTTCCACCCTGAGAGACTAGGAAGAAGAGCCTGCTGATGTACTTCTGGAAAATCAGCCAGGGAAAGCCCTGTGGATCACAGGGGTCTGATGGACAGCTGATCATGGGCATGCTGCAGGCCTGGGCAGCATTTCATTGAATTGTGGATGGGGTCATCACGGGTTGGAGGCTGACTCAGTGGCAGCTGGCAGCAACAATATTGCTTGAGATAAGTGGACTGCTGTCCAGGACTGCTGTATGTACCAGAATATTTGGTAAAATGCCTCTTTTTAGGGCTACACTTTTTATTTTCACTGCTCAGCACCTAAGTGGGACTATCAGTTATTTTGGACATTTGGAATGGGAAAGTTCCTATTTTCTGAATCCAGGATCTTAGTTTATTGTAAAAAAAAAAAAAAAAAAAAAAATTAGTAAGAAACCTAGAGTGCTTTAGCATCAATAAAACACTACATAAGGAGTCCACATAAAGTTGCACCAGTAATGGAGCTGTCAGTTTCATATCTCTTCCTGACCCATCTCTCTTTATGCCTGTTTGCAGGGGTATGAGATACATATGTTTGATAGTGCCATGAATATTTCAGCTTACCTTGGGAATACCACTGACAATTTCTTTAAAATTTCCAATCTGAAGATGGGTCATAATTATACTTTCACGGTCCAAGCAAGATGCCTTTTTGGCAGCCAGATCTGTGGGGATCCTGCTGTCCTTCTCTATGACGATCTGGGAACTGGTAAGTCACTGTGGCTGCTGTCTTCAGTTCCAGGGAAGTAGCAAGAAGGCATGTGGTTTGAAGATCGTGTATCTTTCTAAAACATATTTGAAATATACTCTCACCTGAAGAGAAAATCAATCACTGATTGATTTAATGAAAGAAAACTTCCTATGCCAGGCATGGTCCAAGGAGCTGAAATAACAAAGGTGACCGTATTCTGAATGTGAAAACACCATTGTAAGGGAAAGAAAGGCCAGGCTAATATAAGTCATAGATACTGTCCTCTCCCCATGCATGGGATCTATTACCTGCTTTCTGTTGGCCTCTGTTTAAGAACTGAATTTGGCCTGGGATCTCTGTCTTATCAACAGTCACAGATTTGGGGCCATGATATTGGGACCACAGTGTTTTCACACAGAAAGTTAGTCTACTTATATCATCGTAGCTTGGCCAGGATTCCAAAACACATTATGCCACAGGTCTTTTTAGTTCTATTTACTCCAAGCCAAGTACTAACCAGTGGTCAAGTCCACATTTTGTCTTAGAGTTGAACATTCCTTTGCATAGTGCTTCCCACAGTGTGTTCTGCTATAATACTTAACTCTTAGAGTCTCCCTACAAAAGGGTAACACCACAAACTACAGCCCCTTTGGAGAGTCTTAGGATCTATTAGTATATCAGAGGCACTGAGAGTCTACCAAAAACAAATGCCAAAAACACTGGTTAACCTAGTGTTTCCCAAGCAAACAAATCTGTTGCCATCATATCAGTTCCTACTCATGGCGACCCCAAGTGTGCAGAGTAGAACTGCTCCACAGAGTTTTCAAGGCCTTTTGGAAGCAGATCACCAGACCTTTCTCCAAGGTTCCTCTGGGTGAGTTTGAGCCATCAACCTTTTGATTAGTACACTTAACTCTTTGTGCTACCCAGGGACTCCATCTCCAAGATGTTGTTGTTGTTGTTGTTATGTGCCGTCGAGTCAGCCCCGACTCATAGCGACCCCTCCTTGGGTTTCCAAGGCAGTATCACTATGGAAGTAGGATTGCCCAACCTTCCTTCCGAGGAGTGGCTGGTGGGTTTGAACCGCCAGCCTTCTGGTTAGCAGTCAAGTACTTTAGCCACTATGCTACCAGAGCTCCTTATCTCCCAGCTAGAGTCTCCTTTTTAAGTAAAACCAGTTAGCAACCCATGAAATATACCTGGGAAGAACTGTTGTGAAGATGGCTACTTCAATAAACCAAGATTGTTAGTCTTTTGGTTAGACTTCTTGGCATTCCTTTTGCCCTTGTATTCACCTTCCCCTTGGGAGTTGGGGTGGGGGCCCACTGATTCCTGTTGCCTTCACCAGATTGATGTCTTTGCTACTCCAGCCTCAAGTAGTCCTTTAATTTACCATTGCCCAGGAGAGGTTAGGTTGGGACACATTCAATAAGATTTTGCTGGATTCCGCCCTTCCCCCCAGGGGGGATCATTTAAGCAAAGAAATTTAAATAAAGAAATGAGTATTGAATTATTTGATGAGGCTCACAAGGAGTGGCTGTTCTCTTGCTCATCTTTAGGAGTTCCCTTCCACGATGGCTCCTGGGTAGTGAGGGAGCCGCCTGCCCACACCTCTTCACCCCACACTAGGGAACAACCTCCTCAGGAAGACTAGACCTAGGAAAGTCTAGTCTGCTTCCTCAGCTAAGATCTGCCTCCTGAGTTCTGTTTTCCTGCTTCACGATTAGCCTTTTCCCAGAATTTTTGACATGAAAGCATACCCTTTCAAGGAGACTGGCCCCTAGTCCAATGGGGTATGGCTTGTCTGGCCCTACAGCCTCAGTAACACAAGTCTATCACTAAATCATATCTAAAGTGAGCATTTAATGCAGTGTGATGGGGGCTTCACTCTTAGGTAATAAGCACCTAAGTGGCTTTGCAAAGAGCTTTAAAAATGTTAAATGTATACAGAAAGGTTCTCTCTCCTTTATTTAAGTGAAAAACCTCATAAAACTTCATGAGCTGTTAAGTCAGTGTTCTAGTGAAGGAATCTTGTTTGTATCACTTAATGGAGCTTCAGGTAATTGTAGTTCAGAGTGAGTTTGGCACCAAGTAGGGGAAAATAATTGCAATCCCGTTAATTAGTGGTCTGATTTCACATCCTCTTATGTAAGGCAAGCAAGTGGTCTTAAGTAATAATGCTAATGAAATCAATGTTGATACCCTAGCAAAGGTCTCTCTTCCAAGAGATTATCTAAATAACCAACAAGGCAGTGATTTGGAGTCTAATGTAATTACCGTATTTGCATGCACAGGCCCTTTGTCTCTAAGCTCATGCCAAGTAGTCAGGAAACATTCAAGTGCCACGTGCAGGAAATGTGTCAACACCAGGCAGGCGATTCTGGTAAAACCAGTTGCTACTAAGTTAGCTCCAACTTATGGCGATCCCATGTGTTTCAGAGTAGAACTGTGCTCCACAGGGTTTTTAGTGGCTGATTTTTCAGAATTAGATCACCAGGCCTTTCTTCTGAAGTGCCTCTGGGTGGACTTGAACTTCCAACTTTTGGTTAACAGCCAAGCACTGTTAACTGTTTGTACCACTGAGGCTTAGGTAGCTGTTGGCTTAGGTAGCTGTTGCAAATGACTAGCAGTTTTGGTGGGTGGTGGTGCCTGATTCATTCTCATTTCCTTAGGTAGGAGGCTTATTGATTGAAATCTTGCCTTGGCAGGTGTAGATGCATCAGCGATTCAGGCTGCCAGATCTACCGATGTGGCTGCAGTGGTGGTGCCCATCTTGTTTCTGATATTGCTGAGCCTGGGCGTCGGCTTTGCCATCCTGTACACAAAGCATCGAAGGCTGCAGAGCAGCTTCACTGCATTTGCCAATAGCCACTACAGCTCCAGGCTGGGCTCTGCCATCTTCTCCTCAGGGGATGACCTAGGTAAGCATGGGGCAGGGTAGGTTAGTTCTTCCTCCCAGAGTAGATCACACAAAGCCAATGACTAGAAATAGAAAACACCTACCTTAAGCTCCTCTGTGGACATAACAGCCTTTATCAAATGAGTTATTCATTAGCCAGTGATTCTACTGCTTTGGGGTAAATAATTTGGAGCCCTTAACTTTTAACTTCTCAAAATTAAGATACCAATATTCTCTTCAATAGTCTAGTTCCAGTCTGAAACAGTATCTTAGTTATCTAGTACTGATGTAACAAAACACCACAAAGTAGGCGACTTTAAAGAGCAGAAATTTATTGTCTCACAGTTTTGGAAGCTAGAAGTCCAAATCAGGGCATCAGTTCTAGGGAAGGATCCTTTCTCATCATTAGGCCTGGACCTTGGCTTTCTTTGGCTTGTAGACAGTTCTTCACAGGTCTTTTCCCCTTGTGTGTCTGTCTCTCTGTCTGTACTCCATTTTAAAAGATGTCACTCAGAAAGGATTAGGTTTAGGGCCTGTCTTACTCACGTATGACCCATTCACGTAAAAGAGAACCCCTGTGTCCAAATAGGGTCACATTCACAGCAACAGTGGTTAGGATTTCAACACATATTTTGGAGGACACACAATTCAGTCCATAACAGGGAGCAATTTTATTGGAAGGAGGAGGAACTGGTAGGAGTTCGCTTTGTGCAGGAAGAATAGGTAGGGGGATCCTGGACTTGGGAAACTCTGGAAGTATTGGAAATTTCCAAGAATTGCCATCCTACTCTTGTCCTTTACAGACCCTTGAATGTCTCTGGAGGTGCTGTTGTTGTTCTGTGCCATTGAGTTGATTCCAATTCATAGGAATCCTGCGTGACAGTAGAGCTGCCCCACAGGATTTCCTAGTCTGTATTCTTTACGAGAGCAGTCACGAGACCTTTTCTTCCACAAGTGGCTGGTGGGTTTGAACTGTTGACTTTTTGGTTAGCAGTCGAGCCCTTAACCATTGTGCCATTTGGGCTCCTGCTGGAGATCTCAGATCAGAGAAAAAAATAATGCTTTCCCAATCAGCTTTTATCTAAAGATGCCTTTCCATCATGCTATTTTTCCTTACAGTTGCTAGTGCAATCTCACCAAGCATTTCTATTTTATGTATCAATTACATATAGCATAGGGGAAAAAAGGAAATACTCCTTTTAGAAATGTCTGAATGTTCAGATTGGTGTTACACTTTACACAATAGAATGGGAGTGTTGAAAGGCTTCCCTTAAGCTCAGATTGGTGAATGTGCATTTTTCCTGGTAAAAGTAGTTATAATTCATTTTCTTTGTTTATGAAGACATTCATGTATTCTCAGTTTCCTTCCTTCCTTACTAAGCAAGCACCTGGATTGCCTCGCATGAATTGGAGGTTGTGGGTGTTATTTACTTCTCTGTTTGGGAGCAAACAGAATTGAAGGTGCCATGCAGCAAACACTGAACAGAGATGTCACCTGGTTACACAGCACTGTACCAGAGGCCATAAGTCTGGGTATCACTAGTCTGGGAAGCTGTCCTCCAAAAGCTTAAACCACTCCAAGTTCCTTTTTTCTAAGACAAGTTGGGTTCAAAGGAGAAAACAGATAATGAAGTTAACTGTGCTAATAATGTAGGGTGTGGGTTGCTCAAATTGGGGAACCCAAGCCACATCTTTACATTTTGGGATAAGTTAATGATGTTCTTCTTCCTAAAAGCTTGGTGTAGTGCAAGCTACCGTAAGAATAGGTTTGGCCATGCATTGATGGGGAAAAGGTGACCCAAGAGTAGCAAAGGGAAGCTGGCCTAGGTTTCAGAACTGATGGCTATGCTTGGTGGGCTCTGGCATTGACTTTCCCAGCTGAGAATTATGATGACAGTGTTGGAAGGAAGGGAAGGGCCAAAAGGGTGAGATGTGGTGTCTGGCAAACATGTACTGGAACTCATCAAAACTTGACTGTTTTGCCTTTAGGAGAAGATGATGAAGATGCTCCTATGATAACTGGATTTTCGGATGACGTCCCCATGGTGATAGCCTGAAAGACCTTTCCTCACTAGAAACCAAATGTTGTAAATATTTTATTTGATATAGTTGATGGTTTATTTTAAAAGATGCACTTTGAGTTGCAATATGTTATTTTTATATGGGCCAAAAACAGAAAACAAAAAACAACCAAAAAAAAAAAAAAACAAATGAATGAATAAACTTTGTAGTAATCAACTGTGAACTTCAAACCAGGTTGATTTTAGTAACCAAATTGCTTTGATTTGACATTAATTTAGTCTTACAGGGCTGTGCTTGCTGGGCATGCTTTTAAGTCTGTGAGATCATTTTGGTTCAATAAATTGGCCATTGTTTTTATTTTTCTAAGACGCAGAAATGTATTTAATAAAATCTTCAAGAGAGAGTAATGGGTAGAATCCCTTTCTCCTTGAAGGTGTGATCAAATTGTAAGTTTTGTTTGGATTTAGTTTCTATGAAAGTGTTTGGGTATATTATGGGGGAAGGCTCTTTTATGTTGTTGTGTTAATTTATTGGGGCTCTGTTTAAGGCCAGGCTTTAGTATACATCTGACACTTGCACATGTGATGAGCCTCTTTAGCCCATGGAATTGGAGCATGGGGCGCAGAAGCTTTTTTGTTGTCATTCTGCAAGCAGTCCACTTTTACTCACTTGTGTGTCACATAATGGAATTTAATAGGAGAGATCATTGAGTCATTGCTCCATTCCAGTTCAGCAGAGCTCAGCTTGGGAAGCCCTGCAAAGCCAACAGCTTCCTCTTTCTTCTGTTGATTGATGGAATCTCACTGTATATGCCTCTGTATTTCAAAGATGTAGCTTTGAAAGCTAAGAAATGGTAAGACCACTTTATTATACACTGGTATAATTGTCATTTGCAAAAAAAAAAAAAATATATCACTCTGGTTGGGGGAAGAGTTCGGAGAGCCATGCCATGATGTGACTAATAGATACACTGGCAAATACAGTACCTAAGTTTTCCATTTTAGATTTTTCTTTTTCTTTTAAACTAACCACTGAAGAATCTCGAATGTAAAATTTTGTATCTGTGTTGCAGTGGTCCATAATGATATATGCAGTCATTTTGAATTGGGTCAGTGCCTTCTCTCTCTTTCTCTCTTTATTTTTCTCTTCCTTTCCTTCCACATTCCCTACCCCTGTCCCCACCCAATCTAAAGAGAAAGTGCTATTCACTGTCACAGAGACATAAGAAATCCACAAAGCTGAGGCCACTGAATCCAGTAAACAGTAGCAGCAGCACGGGAGTTTGTTCATTTATTCGCTCTGCAAAATAAGCTGTGCTTTTCCTTCTGCCTTTAAAATGCCCCCCTGCATTCAAACCATGGCCACTGAATGGTTATATAGACTCCACTGTGGGCCAACACCCACTCTTTAGATGTAGTGTTGTAGGTACTAATGTCTAGCATTGTTGTAACTTGACTGTGAATCTCACTGCAAAACTTCCTCCCAGCTGAGGAGCAGGGAGTGCTGGGAATATTCCAAAGTCATATCCCTGAATAAGTATCCTTTATATGCAAGCTATGTCAACCCCATATCCTCTTAGATGCAATGCGTCACCTTCCCACAAGTGTTTGGTTTCTTTTAGCCAAAAGTATCATTCTTGGGTGATGATAGAGTTGTGTTCTTCCTAGGGATTGTTTGCAAAACAAAAAAAGAGCCAATTACATTTTATTTTAAAGTTTTATTTATTTATTTATTTTAAATGGGCAATATTTTAAACTGTCAAACTTTAGTATACCACGAGGGTAGGTTCTGTTTCTTTTTAAACAACTGGTGGTCATGATGAGCCTACTTCAGTATATTTTCTCTTCTTCCTATCTGTCCTTTTTTAAATTTTTTTTAAAGACTGGAAGTTCCTTGGCTTTATCTTATCTTGCCTTGGAATTTTCTTTAAAACTCCAGCCCCTACCACCTCTTCTTTAAATAGCTGAAATATTAAAAATCTGGTGGAAGTCAAGTCATGTCATGGAACCACTAGAAGGTATATTTTCATCTTTTTCTGCCAACTTCTTGAGGAAATTTGTAGAAGCTGGTATAAAAGCCTCGGGGACTTTGTTTTCAATTCTTCCGTAGGTGAGCTTTTTTATAGCGCATATGTCTCCAGTTGGCAACTTGAGATACTTTTGAGAATCAAGTTCTAGTTACCAGTGCCTCCCAGTGCTTTGTGCACAGTACTGTATAGACTGGCCCTCACCTCTCTCCTTGGAAAATGCCACTGTGCTGTTTGAGAAAAAGCAGCCTTTTAGGGCTAGAGTATTTTATATACACAGAAGAGCTAAGTTCCTGAAGACTAGATAGATGCAGCTATGTATAAATTGTATATTTTTATGAACTTTTGAAGCACGCACTCTTTTTTCCCTCTATATAGTTTCGTGTGGAATTTTGATGTATAGATGCTTGTCTGTAAGGGTCCAGAGGCTGGAGTGACAATAGGAAATGAAAACAAAAACTACGGCCAGCCTTTGAAGGGGACCCAATAATTGTCTTCACTGTGACATTTGGAGCCCCTGGTTGCTTATGAAGAAGGGACTTTAGTACCTCATTGGAGATGCCACCTCTACAGGGCATGCTGTGCAGGGAAAAGCTTTTCTTCCCTCCCAGGGTATGTTAGAATGTCAGATGCCACATCCCTGTGGACCTCATGGACCACTAGTAGACCACTAAAATTTCACGGGCAGGGAACTGTGTGTAAGTTTTTTCTGGAAGCCGATTTTTCTTCTTTATGTGTTTATCCCCCTTGAGCTTTATAAGACGTGGATATATTGGATAAAATGACAGAGTAGAATTCTACAGAGGATTCCAGGGATAAATCTTGTCTAAACAGGCCTGTTTCCAGACAGCTGAAAAGCTCCAGCAACTACTGGCTGCCCTGGCAAGCTGGGAAAATAGTTATGATGTTGGGTAACCAGTTGAAACTTAGAACTTTTGGAAAAGTGGTGCCTGAGGCCTGGTTCCTTCTCTGGTCATATTATTAAGGACATTTGGGTGGAACAGCTGTGAGGCATAACAACTTTACATCTCTTTCCCATCACGTGTGGCCCATAGATAAAGCTATACTTAATGATTTAGGAATGTGACCCTTTCTCAAAGCAGTGGCTGTTTTGAGAGGCACTGGGAAGAGTGATGGTATGGTGAGGCCTTTATAGATAAGCATTTGCTTGACCTTTGGAGAATCCTGCCTTCACTGTCCACCCAGCAGTCACTCCATGTAGGAAGATTGTATGTCCCGTACTTCCTCAAGGGCAGGAACCCCATCTTGTCAGGTTTGCGCAGTCACTTTCCCAGGAAGGGGTGATGGTGAATCCTCATGAAAAATTTTCTCTAACTTTAGCAGAGAGCTGGAGGATCTCTTAAGAAGAGATCTAGGAATATAACCAAACCAGATAGCACCCCCATCTTGATTTCAAGAATTGACTTGAAAACTGCAGAACCTTCCCTTCTTCACTTTTGTTGGGATTGTATCTTGACATTCCTATTATGTTAATTTTCTTAGCTGGAGTGTGTGCTGCCTTTCAGGTACAATTTTTGTGTAATAAAAGCCAGTGCATTAAGTTTATATAGACTACTTTCTATGCAAGACTGAGATATGGAATAGATACCAAGAGATGTGTTGCTGGATACACAGACAGTAAGTATGTTTCAGAAAGGATACCACCACCTAACATGGGTTGAGGGAGGGTAGGTTGTATATATGTTTCTGCCCACTACTAGTTTGAGCAGCCATATTATAAATTAAATCATCACAGCGAAGGAACCCAAGAATGGTATTCGTTTTATCTGTAGAAAGGGAAGCTGCATGAATGCTGAAATGGAACATTCTTCTCAGATATTCCATGTCACTTCTCATTGAAAGACACTTGTTATGAATTATTAGAAACAATAGACAAAATCAAAGTATTGGCAGCAAAATAAAGGCCTACTCTGCTCATATTTAAAGTGAAACACTGTACACTTGTTTCTCTCCAAAGTGAAATTAGGTATTCATAATTTCAGTTGCCTTGATCGGTTTCCAAGTCACTGATATCTGCTGAAGATTTTATCTTGTTGCAAAATTTAAGATGATTTTTGTCTCACTGTCAACTTTTTTCACTGAATAAAAAATTTAACTGGGTCAAGGAAACATCTATTTAAAAATCCACTGTGCGTATGTTGTGTTGTTTTTTTGAGTGCAATAAAGATGACTAATATCGTCTCCAAACACCATTTGATTTGTCTGTCTGGAAAGGATATTTATTTCATAGATGAGAGAGCTCTAAGACCTGGAATAATTTTTTTATTAACAAGCTGGTCTCAGATGGTGGATCCTTGAAGAACATGATGTCTTTGTGTTGGTTGTGGAGTGGGGAGATGTGGCAGTTGTTTTGAAGTAAATAGAATTACTCCTCAGGGGCTGTGACTGAAGTGGCTCCTCTAAAGCTGTAACTGCATTTGCTAAGACAATTTGCTAAGAAGGCAATTTTCAAATCTAGAAGAAAACATAGCAGTAGAGGGAAGTGGTGTGGCAGAGAGCACATTCAGGAGGTTTCCATAGATTATGAAGTCTTATGAAGAATGGTGCCCTTACCTATAAGTACTTGAAAGGTAAGTGAACCTAAAAGTTGGGATTGGAGCATGTGAAACTAGGTGAGGAGAGCAGGCTTTCTGAATTTAACAAGTCTTCTCGTATACTACTCTTGTTTATATATCCAAAAGTAGAACTCTGAGAGGTATTATAGTGTTTTGTAAGTATGGAAAAGGAGGTTCAGAGAGGTTAAATAATTTGTTTAGGGGGAAACAAGATAATAAATGAGAAAACAAGCATTTGGGTATTTATGATTTGTTATTAGAAGTTTCAAATAATACTTTCTAGATATTTCTGACCTCAGATCTTATTCTATAGTACTGTGTCACACTGCCTCATGTGACAGTGTCAGAAAGAACACTCAGTCCAGCACATTACACCAAAGGCCCTCAATCTCTCAAGAGAAGTCACAAGAGGACCCTCTGCCTCCTGGATGAAGTTACCTGGTCTGGACCTCCCAGATGCTGGCAATTTGATTCTGACTCACAGCGACCGCATGTGTGTCGAATGGTGCTCTAGAGTTTTTCAGTGGCTGACTTTTTGGTAGTGATCACCAGATCTTTCTTCCACCGTGCTTCTGGGTGGACTCAAACTTCCAACTTTTTGATAACTGTTTGTACTACCCAGGAACCAGTCATGGCCTGGCCCTTAGTTTCTCAGGCTTAAGTATTTTGTCAGGAGCTCTGGTAGCATAGTGGCTAAAGCACTTGACTGCTAACCAGAAGGCTGGCGGTTCAAACCCACCAGCCACTCCTCAGAAGGAAGGTTGGGCAATCCTACTTCTGTAGTGATACTGCCTCGGAAACCCAAGGAGGGGTCGCTATGAGTCGGGGCCGACTCGACGGCACACAACAACAAGTATTTTGTCAGCACATGATTGTGAATTCATCTCTTATAGCAGACACGTTGACCTGAGACTGGTATGTAACACCATAATGTTCATTTATTAATTCATGGGAAATAATCCTGTCATTTAGAATGTTGGCATGACCAGTGCATTCTCCCATATAGGGACATCTACCCAGGAAGTGGGGAGCTCTGGTAGCATAGTGGCTAAGACACTTGCCTGCTAACCAGACGGCTGGTGGTTCAAACCCACCAGCCACTCCTCGGAAGGAAGGTTGGGCAATCCTACTTCCGTAGTGATACTGCCTCGGAAACCCAAGGAGGGGTCGCTATGAGTCGGGGCCGACTCGATGGCACATAACAACAACAACAACCCAGGAAGTGAGTCACTGCTACAAGGTTGCTAGGTGAGCATGGATGCATAATAAAGAAAGTGGGAGGAGTTTGTACTAGAAAGCAGTTGGTCAATACATAATTGAATGAATGAGTGTCATTCTACAACAGGGAAAATCTACTCAGTATGAACTAAGTATTTGAAGCCTTCATCTTACAACTCACTATATCTATTTCTATTTCAGAAAATCTTGCCATTGGGACCTAATACTTGAGGACCATTGGCTAAGGTTCTCCAGGTCAGGGTTTTGGCACTGCCCATATCTGCCACTCTTACCCCTTCACTAAAATATTCTATGAAAAAGAACCAAACGCACTACCATCGAGTCAGATCCGACTCACAGTGACCCCTCCTTGGGTTTCCCAGGCGGTATCACTATGGAAATAGATTGCCCAACCTTCCTTCCAAGGAGTGGCTGGTAGGTTTGAACTGCCAACTTTCTGGTTAGCAGCCAAATGCCTTAGGCACTACGCCACCAGAGCTCCCTATACTAAAGCATCCAGACATGTCTTCTTGACTTAAAAGCCACTTTATCTCTGTTCTGGCTATATTATATGTTGATTTCAGAGTTTAACTGGGAGAACACGATTTTTGAGTTCAAGGGGACATCTCCAGCCATTCCTCAGAAGGAAGGTTGGGCAATCTACTTCTGTAGTGAATACCACCTTGGCAACCTAAGGAGGGATCACTGTGAGTCAGATCTGACTCAATGGCAGTGAGTTTGTTTTTTTTTTTTTTGCTTTTAGGGAACACCTCAGTGTAGCCCTTAAGTTCTGATCACATCTGTCAACTCTAATTACCTGGTTCCTGACTTCACAGCAAATTAAAAATGGAGAAACCAGTTGCAACCATGTCAGTTCTGACTCTTGGCGATTTGTGTGTTTCAGAGTAGATCTGTGCTCCATTGGGTCTTTGATAGCTAATCATTCAGAAGGAGATTGCCAGGCCTTTCTCTCAAGGTGTCTCTGTGTGGACTTGAACCTCAATCTTTTGGTTAGCAGCCAAATGCATTAACAGTGTATACCACCCAGGTACAAACACTGACACTGAGAAAAGAAAAGAAAAGACAAAGAACCATATGGTTAGCAAATCAGAACGAAACACAGCTTCTTGAGACCTTTTAGGTAGGAACATGGAGTCCTGCATGTTAAGTAGTTAAGTCGATTAGAATAATAATTGTTCCCTTCTATTGCCAAAAAAACTAACCAAACCCAGTGCCATCGAGTCAATTTCTGACTCATAGTAACCCCCATTGGGTTTCCAAGGCAGTAAATCTTTACAGTCTTCCTTCCGCAGAGCCTCTGGTGGGTTTGAACCACCAACCTTCTGGTGAACAGTCAAATGCTTTAGGCACTACACCACTGCTGGACTCTTTATAAACACTTTTTTTTTTTTTTTTTTAAATTCTGAAGGTGATGCTGTGATTTAGGTAATCTTGTCTACCTTGAGCTGTATGCTCTTTTAAGAACTACCTATATGGGATCAAACTGACAACAGCAGCTCAAAAGATTAGATGAGAACCTTAGAGGGCAGTGAGAGTATGTTAATGGGAGAGGAACAACTTAGAGACAGATGGTGAGAATGATTGTACAACTCAAAGAATGTAGTCAGTGCCACTGAATTGTACATCCAGTAACTGTTGAATAATTGGTATGCTTTTCTGTGAATATTAACAACAGAAACCTTATGGGTCACAACAGAATACTGTCTGATGGTGCTAGAGTATGAGCCTCCTAGGTTGGAAGGCAGTTCAGCAATACACAGTGGCTGCAACAGTGAACTTGAGGATGCCAACGATCATGAAGATGGTGCAAGACTGAGCAACATTTCACCCTGTTGTACATGGGGTCACCATGAGTTGGAGCTAACTCAGTGAAAACCAACTATTAAACATAACTAAAAGTGGTTTTGCTGTATCTTAGCCAGAATTTTCACACCCAGAAAACAGAGCACTAATGAGAAGATACCTGCTTGCCAGTTGTGCCTGCACATTGCCAGGGAGTCTGGATTAACTATCACACACATTCGCTGGCTAATGCTTCCATTCTGGGCTTCTGCTTGGGGGTAGTTAGAGGACCTGTACATAATATATCTCCTATTTGTTCAGTTGAGCAAAATTTTTTTTGAGTGTGAATAATGGAAGAACAACTTGGAAAAGGAGGGTGAGAATAGTTGCACAACACAACGAATGTAATCAATGATACTGAATTGAGCATGTAGAACCTGTTGAATTGGTAAGTTCTGCTGTGTTTATTCCCAATAACAAAAATATATTTTTAAAATATGAGGAAAATTCATCTCAAAAGAGGTTGAGAACTTCGCCAAGATTTAACAAGTAGTAAGTGGCAAAGTCAAAATTCAAACCTAGATTTAGTACGTTCCTGTTTGTGCTCTTAATCAGCATACTATTTGGCCTTATTTAATATTTTGTGTACCATTAGAGGTTTGTAATAGTGGTACACTGAGGAACTCGGGGGCATAGGCAATACATTTTTCAAGAATTCCCATCAAGAAAATTAAAAATAAAGTTTGAGGACATAAATAAGCTTAAATTTCTTTGCAAACTCAATTATGTGGAACACAACATTCCTTATTGATTTTGCATGGCAAAGGGTTTTTTTTTTTTTTTCCTAATTAGAAAATGTTTTTTGTAAAGAATTGAGTAATTAGGAGAAACACAGGATTCTTTTGCTTTGCCATAATCCAGTTAGATTTTATCCAAACCCTTTGCATCTTGGGGAAAGAATGTTCAGTGCACATTGTACTCCACCTTGACTTATGCACATAGTGAGACAAACTATTGCAGTGTGTTCTGTTAGGATGACAATTGGGCTTGCAGGAGACTTCCAGGCTCCCCCAAAAAAGGAGGTGACTGCCAGCTTTTTAATCCAGCCCTAACTGGCTTTGATGCCAATATCCCATTACTATTTTTTAAAAGATTTATGTGTAAGGTAATTTGAATCTGTAACAATTTACAGAAGAACAATGGTGTTAAGCTTTTTTAAATGCTAATGTTGTAATGTCATAACCCTGTTTAATGGCAAAATGACAATTTTGCCATTAAATAATATTTGGGAATATTTGTGTAAAAACAATGACATTTCATACTTAAAACTCAACATAAGCAAACTTTGCAGGAGAAAAAGACTCATTTAAATGTGAATCAGCCTTTTATGAAATTTGCCCTTGGGTTGTACCCCAATCCATAAAGCCTTCAAGATTAATCAAAGAAGAGGTTTTACAATTGTTTGGGTTACCTAGTGCCGCTCTGACAGAAATATACCACAAATGGGATGGCCTTAACAAACAGGAGTTTATTCTTAAAATTTGGAGGCTTTAAGTCCAAGTTCAAAGTGCCAGGCTCTAGGGGCTGGGTGAAAGCCCCTCAACCTTGGGGTCCA